GCTCGTGGCTTTCACGCGGTGATCCCCCGCTTGACGGGAGTGATGTCCCCTTGTGTCCCACGGGCCGGATAGAGTTATCGTTCCTTGCCATCACCGGGCTTGCGGTCAGGCCTTATATCCGGTACCCGGTGAAGAGGGGAGGGGAAGGGATGGGGGGTTTGTATAGGGTGTTCTAGAAGAGGCTGATGGGATTAGAAGGCGTGGCTCTACCCCTGTTATATAATTCATCTCGGTCCGATCCCTCCCCCCCCCCCCTCCACTCTTCTTCGACTTGGAGTGTTTTATTCCTACCCTCGACAAAGCTCGGCCGCGCCTCAAAAAATAACGAACCATTGTGTCCGAGACAACTAGTGGTCAGTAAAGAGACAACCCCTACTCTTTAATCAACTTCAGCACTTGTGAAGAAATGCGTTTTTTGTTATTGAAAAAAAAATAAACATAATAATTATCATTTCAAAATCATCTTTAAAATGCTTTGATCCATCCGTCTCAGTGATATATCAAGAAATAATATCTAGGTTATTTTAGGATAATGTTTATTGAAATTAGGTTTAAATTAAGTAAAGAACTTATGGACTATTGTTAGGAATAACAATAAGATCTGTAAGAAAATCAAACACAGTGCGTTAATAATAAATCACTTAGACGCCGATATGAATGATAATAATAAAACAAAAATAAAACAAGTTACAAGAGACCAACAGCTTTATATACACGATTCCATTTGTCAAATACAGTTGACTTAAATTAAGGAATTATTGGAATTAAAGCCTGACCCACCCCTCCATCCCTCCTCAGATTACCACTGGACGAGTTAACAGTCTGTAAGCTATAAAGTATTGGACGGAGTGGTCTAGCGGTAGAGAGCTGGACTGCTAACCCGTAAGTCTCGAGTTCGAATCCGGGTTCAAGTCAGTAGACTCGTCCACCCATCTCGGATGGGTACTTAACTCACGTTAGGGAAAGTAAAGACGGCTGGGCATAATGCTGACCACACTACCTCTTCATATGTCTAGGTCACAGAAACAAGTGAACTCTACATCACTTGCCCTATAGTCAGGTTTGAAAGGGAAACGTTAAGCTATAATAAAGTACATAAGGGTTATAAGACTAGAAAGCTGTAATCTAGAGATAATTAACATAATTAACAGATAACTTCTATATCCTATTTTTTTTAAACGCGTTAATATTTACGGGTAGAATAAGAATTACATCTCTATTGAAAGCGTACGCATGCACGTTTGAAATATTGATTAAATTACTGAATATGAAACGTAACAGGAACGTAATTTTAAAATTTTATAAATTAAAAAAGCGAGTGATGTTTATTAAACTTTAAATATTCCTGTTAAAAATTTCCGAATGGAAATTCCTCGAACTAAAAATGTGTAAATAAAAAATACTATGAAAAAAAACACTATAAAAATAAAACCTCTATGATAAAAAAAAAAACCTATGATAATAATACACAACCCCATAATAATAATTAAAAAAAACCCAACCCTATGATTAAAAAAAAACCTCTAAGATAAAAATAAACAACCCTCCCCCTTTCTTCATAACGTGCAAGATGTGAATCCTCTTTGTATCTCTTGCACAATGCCATATTTTATACACCCCCACCCCCGACCCCACCTCTTACACCTCCCAACACCTCCCCTGTAACAGTAGCAGCGCCCCATCTGTCCCTCGCGCATAATTCCCCAAGTTTTTCTCCCCCCTGATTGAAAATTAACCACCCGTCCCTCAAAGGACTCTTGCTGGACCCTGGCCGGGTGTCCAGTGAAGTGGGCGGCCCACCTAAGAGAGAGCCAGGCTAGGACGTCTTCAGGCGGGGACATAGTAGAGGACAGTCCTGATATGACGTCATGGGGGTGATACTGCAAGGTCGTGTGTTAAACTTGAGAAAATAACAAGTCGCGTGAGAATATGAAATACTTATGTCGTTTTAATAATCAAACTTATGTAAGCAAAGTATCATATAGAAAAGTATAATAGTACATATTTTTAAAACATTTTTTTTTGTTTCGTGAATCTGCAATGGAGAATGTACAAAGATTTTAGGATTTTTGAAGGTATGGTAGAAATAAATTCCGATCTTCGGTTAATTATGAAACCACTAAAAAATAATGCTTATCTTAATTACGATATTTATAATAAAGTCCTAGTAAATATTCGTAATATATTAGTTATGTCTTGTAATTTCAATTTCTAACCCGTGGCGTATTAATAATATATTGTAATCTTTTAAATTGTCCCATTTTTAATAAAATAAAAATAAAAAATATTTAAAATAAAAAAAAAAAAAAAAAAATGCTGTTGGTTCAGACGAAGACCAATGGCCGAAACGTTCCTATCATTTTAAACTGGTACGTTAAAAAACTGAAGCCTAAGCAACAGCCCAGTATTATCCTAACCGACTGTCCGTGTACTTGACCTTTACCCCTATTAATAATCTCGTTACAGAGTTACACAGATGTTCCTCGCCCAATTACTCCGATCAACGAAATAGTGCGTAAAGTCCCCCCAGCGCACCGCGCGCGACTCGGCGTCCGCCGCGTGACCTTTAATTAAATTGTAGTTACTTCCCTTGACCCCTTGGTTACACAATAGCATCACAAAAAGATGGCGACGGCCCCCGGGTGAATGAGACAGCGGTAGGGTTGTCGAGTGGCTTCGGGTGTTCTTTTGTGAGGGGCAGGAGGCGTCTTTTAAGAAGGGAGGGGGGTTGGTTTTTCTGGGAAGGGGGGGGGGGGTGTCTACGTGTCTGATGCAGAAGTTCGTGGTAGATTAAGCTGGAATAGAATGCCGGCGTTGCAAGTCACGTGATGAACGTTACTTGTCAAAACGATACCCGTTCAGTCATCGTGTCGACGTGTTCAAGTGTATTGGAAAAAAAAAATTTCCTCGTTGAAAAACCGGGGACGTCTGCTAGTGTTCAGCAGAGATGTGTGTAGGGTCGTATGGTTTACAATGTATGATTTTGAATTACAAAAAAAATAAAAATAAAATCAAGTCTTACAAATGTTATAATTTTTTGCAAAAGTAATATAGTAAAACAGACTACTTTTATTTTTGAAATTGGCACACAAACAGATTGTGTGGTCAGCACTATATCAATCATACGTACTATTGTACCCAAGGTATTTATCTCTGGAGCGCATTTAAAACTTATGAGCGGGGGGGGGGGGGGAGACACTGTCACTATATACGTTACAAATGTCATACTATATATTTTAAAAGTTTCGTTTTTAATACACTTTCAGTTGCAGTTAGTTTTTTTTTCTATAAAGTAGATTGTTCCACAAATTGACACTCTTCCTCCAATTCACCATCCCATTTGAACGTATTACTCCGATTGTTTCAGTAAATCCGAATTATTGGAATTATTGGAATGAAGGACTGTGTACCGCTGCCAGTTTTGTAAATCACGGGTCTCTTCCTTCCCCCTATGTGACCCATGAGCTTGGTGTTCGTTCACACAAATATGGATCTGAGGTGTATGGACTATGCTAAAAGCGCAGGCATATGTAAAACGTGTACATCTAACTAATGTACATGTAGTAATATGACCTAAACACATGTTCTCTTCTTACTTAAATGGATCTAATTAATTTACATGAAGTACTACGCCCTAAATACAAGCGTATGTTCTCTGATTGTAAAATGTGTAGAGCATATGACTTGCGTGCATGTACTACGGCCAAAAGCTCTGTTCAAAGGCCTATGTCCAAGGAAGTGCGACAGGCTAAACTAACCTAATTGCGTCCGAATTCAAATCTTTGAAGGGAGGGGGGAGGTTGCGTCAGTGCTCCTTTCAAAGTTTTTTTTTGTGGGTGGGGGGTTGGGAGAGGGGGGGGGGTGAGGAGTAGACACAGTACAAGTTTTTTTATTTACTAATTTTCAATAACTTCTAAAATTCCAAGAGCAGATACAGTAAAAGTATATAATTTCTATAAATTCTAATTAGTTAGAGGGGTGGGAGGAAGGGGGGGGGGGAAGGTAGGGGTGGATCGGTAGACATGCTTCGGGGGTCACCAGAGCGGTATTCTAGCAAATGATCCGAATTAAAGGTTATAATCTAGAGGATGTAAATGCAAGTTAAGTTACAAGTTAACAATTACTGGTATTGTGATCGTGGGTGGTTATCGGATTTCTCAGGTGTAGCCTACTCCCAGACTTTCAAGCATAGGGGCTGGAACTATTGAGGTACGTCTCTACACATTTAAAAAACAACAGAAAATACATTACAATTAAATATTCAACAAATTTTAATTGCTTTAAATAACAGTTTAATATTGCGAGTAAAGTTAAATAACAAAAGTATCTATAAACATTATAAATAAGAATCCATTTGTATTATGTACATTGCAGTTGCGTAATAGATTTCATAGTCGCCATACAAATATCAATTTGTAAAGCGATTATCTCTACATTTATTTACTAGTCATATATCATCTTCGGGATCACATTCGGAAATTCCCGTAGACTAAATGTAGAACATAACATATTGAAATGAACATCCAAGAAAGTTTGTTCAAATGGAAACGATAACTGGTATGCAGGAAATTCAAATTTTTGTTTTTACCACTGTTAAATTTCACACATTATTGCATTTCTGTTTATATTAACAACAAATAAATAGAAGGATTTAAAACACTTATTAGCAGTTAAACTAGATCTATATACTTTGAAATTTCACCATAAATTCATCTTCCTCACAAAATGTTTATAAATACATGCTGACGTCCACGAAGTCAGACACCTAAAGCAATGTTTTAAATACATCTTCAGTCACCAAAGGAAGGAATTCGGTGATTTTTATTTCATGAAACAAGAAAGACTGGCTTCACAGAATGCTATGTACATGGATGGTTCGGCTATGACAATTGAAGGCTGTATTCGAATATTTGTGTAGTTACGGCTGTAACTTACTTTGACTATAATACATTTGGGTAATTTAATGCGTGCATAATTAATTTTGTGGGGGGTGGGGGGAGGGAGGATAGAGATTCAAAATATTTTTAAAAAAATAATAATAAATCACATTGTTCGAATTTCGAGATCACTAAGTCAAAAGACATGGCCGTTCCATGGATTCGATCCTGCTTGCATGGGGAACCCAAGGGGTAATGTCCCCATTGTTGGGAATATCTGTCCTCCGCGCATGGGTGGCAGTTCCGGTGACAGAAAAGGCGAGAGCGCATGCGCAGGATTTGTCGCGCCGAGTTTAGAGGAATGGTGAGCGACATTTTTCACAAAGTTTTGCAGGTTTGAGGATTTCAGATTCTGGGGCGCTGTCTGGGGGCTGTAGAGATGCTGGGGCGCTGATGGGAGAAACCAGCGCTGAGGTTCTGCGTGGGGTGCGGCAAAGAATTGTCTGTACGCCACCGGAAATTGATGCAGATGGGACGAGGTGACGTATGCGGGGGACGGTGAGGAAGTTCCAGACGGCATGGCACGAGGTCTAGTGACGTCAAGGCGTTTGGGTCCGTCTGTAGAGGTCAGCCTGGAGATGCTGAAGTCCGTGTGACGCTGGCGTGAGAGTGTGCTGGACAGCGAGGTGGACGAGGACGACGTGACGTCATGGTGCTTCGTGTCCGTGCAGCCCCTGCAGACTCCGGACCGGATTTCTTCGGCGAGTTCCAGAACGGCGCCACAGGCACAGCTGGTGCTATCACTAGAGTCTGTCACTGTGGAATAAATGGAGGTGGTGTTAGTTCAACTTATGGGGGAGTAGGATCAGTAAGAGTGAATAAAGTAAAGGGAGATAACTGGATTAATTCATTATAGACGTATACGTGGCACGAAATAGTAGTCATGGTAGTATATATGGGAGTAAACTGCGTCAAATTCTATACTTGGAATAGGGGGGTGGGGGGGGGGGGGGACAACTAAAAATGTTGTAACTATACGTTAACGTAAAAAAAGGGATAATTATAGACTTTGAAAATAGGATAACTAAGGGACCAGATTTGTCAAACTAACGTGACTAGAACTAGGAACATGATTAGATGTTAGAAGAATTATAGGTAGGCTTATGATATTAGAGTTAGGATTAGGAGAATATGATTATGAGGGTGTGATAAAATTGGTACACTAAAAAGGATCTTACATTCGTGGGTTTTCAGGTGCGTCTTCAGGTTACACAGGAGGGCAAATTTCTTCTGGCATTTCAGGCACTCGTGTGGCTTGTCACCTGAAAAATCATTTTACATTTACTATCAAATAAGGCTTAGTAATGTAGTCGTTTTCTTCGTATAAAATCATCTTCAGTTAATATGATTCAAGATATAATTTGATTGTTATGCCAATATTTATGCAATAGTTTTAAAAGTTTCGTTAATGAAATGTGTCCAGTCAATTTTTGCTCAAGTAGTATTTTTAATATTTTTGTGTTATAAGTGTGAACTCGTCATGTGGTTTTTGTATATACGATGTGAACTCACCTAAGTATACTTACCTATGGTTTTTGTGTTTGGGTGAACTAAAATAAATGTATTAGCATGTTGTTTGTATGTCTAAAATGTGACCTCAAATGAATGTAGTAGCATTTGGTTTGTGTCTAAAATGTGAACTCGCCTAGATATGCATGGTTTGTGTCTAAAATGTGAACTCGCCTAGATATGCATGGTTTGTGTCTAAAATGTGAACTGGCCTAAATATGCACGGTTTGTGTCTAAAATGTGAACTCGCCTAAATATGCATGGTTTGTGTCTAAAATGTGAACTGGCCTGAATATGCATGGTTTGTGTCTAAAATGTGTGAACTCACCTGAATATAATAATTAAGAACGAAGAAGAAGAAGAAAGACCTGAATATGCATGGTTTGTGTCTAAAATGTGAACTGGCCTAAATATGCATGGTTTGTGTCTAAAATGTGAATTGGCCTAAATATGCATGGTTTGTGTCTAAAATGTGAACTGGCCTAAATATGCATGGTTTGTGTCTAAAATGTGAACTGGCCTAAATATGCATGGTTTGTGTCTAAAATGTGAACTGGCCTAAATATGCATGGTTTGTGTCTAAAATGTGAACTGGCCTAAATATGCATGGTTTGTGTCTAAAATGTGAACTGGCCTAAATATGCATGGTTTGTGTCTAAAATGTGAACTCACCTGAATATGCATGGTTTGTGTCTAAAATGTGTGAACTCACCTGAATATAATAATTAAGAACGAAGAAGAAGAAGAAAGACCTGAATATGCATGGTTTGTGTGTAAAATGTGAACTCGCCCGAGTGCATGTGTTTTGATATGTGTAAAATGTGAACTTACCTGAATGTAGCAACATATGGTTTTTGAGATTGGTCTGTTTACTGAAACCCCGACTACATACGTCACAACGGAAAGGCCAGGAGCCGTTGTGGATGTACATGTGTGACCTCAGGTCCCCGGGGGTGGGGAAGGATTTTGAACACAGGTCACATTTATGGGGCTTCTCCTGATGAATGAAATAGGGCGTGGTTAAATTATGGGTCACTTAATTAGTTAGTGTTAGACAAAATAAATTTTATAATTTCAACATTAACACATGTTTGGGTACTGTTGAATACTTGAGTCCACCCAGCTCTGATGGGTAACTAAACCATGATAGGGAAACGAAGGCGGCTGGACATTACCCTGCTCTGATGGGTACCTAACTTACGATAGGGCAACAAAGGTGGCTATGCATAATGCTGACCACATTATTTCTTCTGAAGCAGATAAACTACTTCATCTACCCCATGTGTCTTGGGCACGAATGGAAAATGATGTAGACTATTAAACACTATAATGTCACCATTAACACGTAATCTTTGGGTACTATCAGAGGCGTAGCGATGGGGGGGGGGGGGGGGTGATGCCATTAGGTGCCGCATCGGGTGACACCCGACCTCGCTACGCCACTGGGTACTATTGACTACTATTTTATCACACTACTTTGAACACAAGTATCAAATTCCTACCTTATTATGGGTCATCCTGTGGTAGTATAGGTTGGAGCTAGCGGTGAACCGTTTGCCACAGATCTTGCACTGGTGTGGCTTCTCGCCTGAGTGGATGCGCCTGTGGGTGTTGAGCGAGGAGGACGTGGAGAAGGCTTTACCGCAGACGTCACATGCGTGGGGCTTTTCACCTGGGGATGGTTGTATGTCAGAGTGACTTGGATCCACAGATTAGCATTATAGACGATAGCATTATAATTTAAATAGTTTTATAAATGTTCAGGTTTTTTTTTATGTTTGTTGAACTTTTTGTGAAATATTTTCATGTTTGTTATTTATTTTGGAGTAGAAGTATAATTCTGATTAAATTAAAGACGAGGGATTAAAAAGCAAGAAAAACCGAGAGAAACTTAACTAATTTTCTTTGACTTAACGGGTATTCAATCTTCATAATCGAGTTTATTTTGAGGACTTTGGTTGGATAAGTTCTTATTCTGATTAATATATATATAGACTATGGATTTAAAAAAAAAACTCAGAGAAGCGAAACTAATTCTCTGTGACTATTCAGGCATTCTACCTAGTTTGGGGGCTGGGCGGTGGGATAAGTAATTTTAGAGGGGGAAGAGGGGTTGGAGTTCTAACGTATTTTTGGAGCGATGATGTCCTAGACTAGACAATATTGCAATCTTGGTATCATTAGGGGTCGTCCATAAATGACGTTACAGTCGTAGGGGGGGGGGAGGGGGGATCCGTAATTTTTTGACGGTGTGTGATAAGGGGGAAGGGGGGGGGGGGTTCAGATGGTGTGACGTCACTTTTTTGCATTATAAAAAAGCAATGTTAGAAAACTAGTTTTAGCCGCTATTTCGCGTTTTAGAAAACGATTTTAATAAATTGTAATAGGAATTGATCAAAATACTTTATGTTGACAGAGTTCTGACAAGATTTTGGAAAAATATCGATGTTTTAAGAAAAATTCAACCGCAATTTTGAGGGGGGTTGCAGGCTGAGGTGTGACGTCATTTTAGGGAGGGGGGTCTGGCTTTTTGTGACGACGTGTGACGGAGGGGGGGGGGTAAAAAATCGTCAAAAAGCGTGACGTCATTTATGAATGACCCATTAGCCAGATTTAAAGATAACACAATTTGAATGAAGTATTTTGAATGCACATCACGGATTTCGCGCGTCCCAAACCTACCAGCCCTTCCCCTTACCTGTGTGTGTCCGGGTGTGTCGCTTCAGCAGGGAGGGGCGGTCAAATTTCTTCCCGCACACCTCACAAGGCCACCAGCTCCTCTCCCGGCACCTCTTCATCAGGGGGTTGGAACCCTGGGGTTCTGGGGGGTGGGTAGAGTGGGGGCTGTTGGGGCTCTGAAATGGGAGGGGCGAGATTAAGGGATTAGTTCGCCGTGACAAGATTAGAATGTTAAAGGCGTGTGACACATTAATAAAATGATTCAAATACAAATTAAATTTAAAAAAAAAAGCTGTACAATATTTTTTCGAAAAAATAAAGTAATTGTACACTTTGCTTGTTGATTACCTTAACTCTCGTGGTATCCATGTTGTCGGTATTGCTTATATATAACACTACAACTAAACATAACAATAATCTGAACATAAACAGTGTAGTTGAAAAACTATGCAAAGTATTTAAATATGGTTTGACCATGGTTTGAAACAGCTAAATATTTCATTATGTTAAATAATATTTAATTTTCTAAACAATAATTAATTTTCTTTTCTTTTGAGTATTTTTTATGTAAATATTTTTTATATATAACACTACTACTAAACATAACAATCTTAAAATAAATATAGTAGTTGAAAAACTATGCAAAGTATTTACATATGGTTTGACTACGTGTTTGAAATGCTAAATATGCTAAAGAATATTTAATTTTCTACACAATAATTTCTTTTTTATTTCTTTTAAATCTTTTTTTTCTTATGTAAATATTTGAAAGTTTTTAACCTACCCGGCATTCCTGATTTCTGGCCTCGAACGCTGGAGTAAAGGCACTGACACTGGCGTCAGAGTTGAGAGTCTGGAATCTGGACACAGTCCGAGGTTTTGAAAACACGTCAGGCGACCCAAGATCCCGTGGAGGGGCGGCACCCTCCCCGGGGCTCTCGTTCTCTGGCACCGCGGCGCTGTCTCCGCTGGGCATCGGGTGTGGGGGCGCGTCCTCGCTGGTTTGTTCGGTGGGGTCAGGCTCGCGTTCCGTGGGTGAGGAGGTACCCTGCTCGGTGGGGGCCGTGACGTCACAACATGGCTGCTCTTCGTTCAGTAGCCTGGTGGGGTTTCTGACACCGGCTCTGTGGCTTCTAGGGGTCTCCTCTGTTGAGGAATTACATAGAAATTTCCATATAAAAAAACCAAAATAGTTTTTACCTTAGGTTAATAGAAATGGGAAGCATGTGCGTCATTATTTCAACCGGTAATATTGTGTTCTAAAAAACCGTGTAGGTTTTTAATTTTATAAACATATGTGTTTAATTAAAATAAGTATTGTAATATCCTATTAGTTCTAGAAAGGAATACACATGTATTAAATAAATGATATTTATTTATGAATTAAGTCTATAGCACTATAGTCTATTATTATCAATCAAATATGTTAGTAATTATACAATCAAGAAAATTTATGTAATTAAAATTATTATAATAATATGCTATTTTTTTTTTAATTTTTTTTTTCAGGTTTTAAATAACCAAAAATTTTTAATTAGTTGAAACTGACTTAATAGTTTAAGAATACTATATAAAGCTATTTTTAAACTTCACCGATATTGGTTCGATTTACTGTTTAAAGACAATTTAAATATTTTAAAAAGATAAAAGCTTGTGTTTTCTTACCCAGTATATCTTTGATAAAAGTTCCTTCAACGTTATTAGCATGTTCACTACGCACTTCCTCACTCTTCAAAATTATCTCATCACTTTCTTCAGCAGTATCACAATGTGCGGTGTTTACTTCCCTTTTTACATCCGTATTTGAATTGTCTCCCTTCGAGTCTTTCGGGCTAACATTGATTAGCTGATCATCGCTGGCAGTCGTCTCCCTTGAAGAGCTTGACGTCATCATAGGGGAGGAGCAACTCGATTCTTGTGGAATGTTTCTCTTGAAGTTATCGTTCTTTGGCGTGTCGGCAGTCGGCGAGGTGAAAGACGACGAGGATGAAGAAGAAAAAAGTAAAGTTCTTTTGACCTCGTCTTCCGGCCTGACGGTGGAGGTTCTTTCTTTCTTGCACATCACCATGGAAACGGGAGTCGACGTCATAATGCCGAGTTCTTCCCCTCGGTTTTGACGCATCAGCATCGACATGGCCATCTCGGTGTACGGCGTGTGCGAGGCGATGCCAGGGGAGTGGACGGAGAAGGGCGCGGCCGGCATCCGGTCGTAGAACGGTCTTTCCGGTGCCAGATGAAATAGGACGACGATTTCTTCATTTGGTTTGATGGGCCGGGTGACCTGATAAAAGGGATGACCTTTGACCTTGGAACTGATGACGTTGGCGGAGTCAGGGTCGCTGGTGATTTGGACGAACCGGACCCAGTTGCAGTGACGCACTTCCTGTCCGTTGACGTTCATGATGGCGTCGTAACATCCGAACATTCTCCGAATCTGCCGGGGGGAGAAAAGCATGATATTTTTCTTTTAAAACCTATCATTCTCAAAGGGAAGTAAATCTTTTTTTTTCTCTTTTTTTGTTAAGTTCCTTTACCTTGTGTAGACTATTCTGTATGCTTTCCTGAATCAGACCACGCTTTGACGAGCAAATTCGTCGCAATAAAAGACACAGTTTTTGTCAATCAAACGCCAAAAAATTCGTTTGTTTACTGGACGATCGACGAGAGTTCACCGTGCTCCATTTTATCACGTCAACTGAGATTTGTCTTTTTAATAATTTTTTTTTTTGGCTTTATGGACAAATTTAAACAACTAAGGTAGTCGCTTTTTATGTTAACCTTACTTCCGAATCCATTCCACTTTGTTTTTTGGTATGTTACTAATTGGGTGATTTTTCGGTTTATCTAATTTTTTCCACACCAATATCGCAATTTGCATAGTACTATGGAGGCCTAAAGGAACATAATTTAAAGAGCATTTTACTCATTTTGCATATCGTGTATATTTTAAATTGGCTTTTCTACTACCAAAAGCCAAACTCCCACACACCATATATTCTCATGATGGCGTCTATAAATTATTATCTCCCCTACATGGATAACCTCTTAGACTTAGTTTGTGCGTAGAGGTTACGTCCCTTGAGAGAGTATGGCTAAGTCATCATTGTCTCCCCTTTTTTCTTTGAACCCACACACAAGTACAGAACCAGAACGGTAGCCAATCACTATGCAAACATGGCCATCAAGGGACGTTACTCTCTCCGTAAAGAATGTTTCCTTTAGCGACTCCGCGATCCATAATGGCCGACGTAACCTACTCAAGATGGTGATCTCGTGGTCTACACCCCCCCCCTCCCCCCCCCCCCCCCAACCCCACCCTACCACCCACCGACGGAATGCATAAAGCATGGCCCCCATTTGTATCAGCACGCATCGCTTCAGCCGTGACGCAACCCCCCCGCACTCCCACGTGACCCGCGCACGTGCCGCGGAGAAAAGGGCCAGACGGTCAAGATACGGGATCTCGCGTTGTTTGCACGAGACGAGGCTCGCCCTCCGCGGGTGGTCGCTCGTCTGCGGCTTGATACTCTCTAAACGAGACTAAATGACCCGGAAACGCAAGCCATTGCTTGAAAGTAAAGTAAATTCTCCGATCGTCGCTACCCGTACCATCCTTACCCATCCCAGATTTTTACCTTAATGAAATATGAATTCCGGAATTTTTGAGTCGCTATGCATGTACTAAAAGCTTCTACCTAAATGTACTCATTATCTGCATATTAAATCATGGCTATCAGACATTTCTTGAGGAGATTAACATAGGGTTCCATCTAATAAATGAATTAGCGTATGAGCTTTATTCCTTTGAAGTGCGCAAGAAAGCCCTTTTAGTGCATTAAAATGAGTTGTTTCCCTTTTGTTGTTTATTATGTGTAGCTTTCCTTTAAGTCCAGAAGAAATGTAATGCCTTATAGAAAATATTTATGTCCCATCTATTTAAAATGTGTTAAAGAGTATCGCCCCCTTTTTTGTTCAAATATCTTAGGAGTTCTTGCCTTTAGTATACAATGTTAATCATCCAGATGAGTGACAATACTTTAAAAAGGAAAACAGTTCTCTATCACAAATAAACTCATCTGTAAATAATATATATGGTACCATGCATGAATATAACTCAGGTAATGTAGAAATCTACACCTGAACAACACCAGATTCATCAGCACACGTTGAGACACGTTAATTCATCTAGTGTGTAGAATAGCATGGCCAATATAGTATTTGTAGTTTTTTGTTTATTTTTTTTTTTAGAGCTACATCATACCTGTAGATTTATTGACTTTTTGGGCTATGACATAGCTGTAAAGACCTTGAAAAGAAATACGTAACGTTCCTGATTATAACTTCAAGAGCTAAAACCTACCTGCATAGTGCTTCAAGAGCTAAAATATATCTGCATACACCTTCAAGCACTAAAACCTACCTGTATAGACTTTCAAGAGCTAAAACATGAATGCATAGACTTTCAAGAGCTATAGCATACATAATGTACACATGTAGGCCAACATCATACCTGTATATAGCTTTGAGGACTTGCATATAGCTTTCATGCACATGTTATCAAAGTAAAAAAAAAAAACAACTTCTAAATAGGTCTATATAAATATATAATGCACCATGATTTCATAAAATCCAAAATATTCTTCTTTCTCAAGAACCTAAATGGCACCAAGACGAACATCATTGGTGGTGTCCCTTGAGTTAGATTGTCAAAATCCCACTTGTTTTTTTTAAGGCTTTTTCATGCAAGCTTTTACTTGGGCTTCATTCTCCACACCCCCTCACATACATTGCATGTGCTGCAATGCTGACAACCCTTATGGGTCATGTCTAGTTGGTCAGTTTTGTAAACATTTTTGTGCAACCATTTTTCTAAAAAAAAATTTCTGTAGATTATATTAAACAATTCGAGTTACCTACATGGCAAAAGAATAGAGACGGTTTGTGTGTTCGTTACAATGCTACACCTAAGGGTAGGGTTTTCGCATCTTAAGATGGATACCTTTTAGTGCTGATTTAGCTCTTTGTGAGAAAATATAAAACTTGGCGTGTAGCCGATACTGAAACCAGTAGCGTAGCGAGGGGGGCGGGGGGGGGGGGGACATATGTCCCCGGGCGCCGACCTTAGGGGGCGCCAAAATGGGTTGGAAAAATAAATTGAAAGGTTGAGGGGGTGCAAATAGAAAGTTTGAGGGGGGGGGGTGCGAATCAAAATCTCGAGTGGGGGTGCAAATCGAAAGTTTGAGGGGGGGGGGGTGCAAATCGAAAAGTTTGTCCCCGTGCACCGGGAAGTTCGCTACGCCTCTGACTGGAACCTGGTCCCCTTGTGTGAGTGACTGGAAAAAATGTGTACTTACGTCATCGTCCCTGATCACAGCTCGACTGTCCAGTCTGTCCACGCGAACATCACCCTCGTCAGGGTAGAAGACTGTCCCCGGGGGGAGGTGGACGTTGCTCCATATGGTGGCCGCCATCTCCAGGACGTGCATGGGGTTGGGGTGGAGGGTGATGACGAGGCTGAGCTCGCGAGGGATCAACACACAGGCGTACATTGTCACAAATAGATGATGGGGTATTTCCGTAGTGTGAAAGTGAAACTAGAATGTATGGTAGTCGACCAGTGTCATATTTTCACAAAATCTGCGGAAGAATAATCCAGTTTAGCGTTGTGTATACTAAAGAAAACTACGATTTGTTTAAAAAAAGTATAACTTTGCTGTAACAAAATAAAACAGTTATACTAATTACAATCCAAATAATGAACGCTTGGTATGACACATTTTTATGTCAAATTCACAAATTATCTGACTATATATTCACTTTTTTTGTCAATGGAGACTTTACAATCACAAAAATGTAATATTAGTTCAATTTCGAAGCGAAATATACTTGTCTTTTGTTTTCGGTAGAAAACGATTAAAACTGACAAAAACGGTGTTCCATACTATGTTCGTATTCAGCTCTCCCATGTGACGCCACTGCGTGCCAATGGTGAATTGATATCGGTGCTTGTCTGTGTAACTTTACTGAACTTTGTTAAACTACGGCGGATATTGTTATACATATTTTGTAAATATTCCAAGTGGCCAGATCAACTTGTACGTAAACAAACTTTCGACGTCTTGGCCAAAATTATATTTTATACTTTGTTTCGAAAATTTGAATATTTTAAAAAGTTGTCTCTTTTAGATATTAATAAACAATATATTATTTTAAAACAATTTTTGCTAATAAATTGAAATAATTATGCAATTATGTAGATAATTTAAGCTAAATACATGTTCAACATGATTAAGAATATTAGGTCTTGATTGTTTTACGGAAAAAAAAAAAACGTATCCATTTTAAATTGACAAAGTTATGAAAAGAGTTCAATATCAACTATGGGATCGTTATGCCCCTGTGACTAGTGTTGACACAGGTTAACACAGGCTATAGTACGGTCAGTTCGTGGGTCTATTTGTGGAGACGTCACTGAGTTTTGACCGAGTTGTGTCGCTGAGTTAACGTTAACATTAGCATATACCTGAAATAACTAATTAGTTTCTTGCTAAGTAAAGCGAAATGTGTGTACCTTAACCCTATCGTACTTGCACTAACACGGCATCTATACAAATCCATATTGCTTTTTTGAAATTATTTACATTTGGATCCTTAATTGGCCAGATAAATTATTATTGTCGTTTTACTTGTACGTTGCGTAGCTTCTTCGTCACTCAATTAATTGAATCATAAAACCTTTTAGGTAAAGAAAATGAGTTATAACTACGTTAATAACACTATGTTATGGAAATATGATTTCATATTAACAAAAACTGTACCTCGAAATGGGCTAAATCAAACTTAAAAAAACATAGCCTGTCTATATTTGTGTGTATATTCATTCATTTTAACAACCCATTACACAATATATTACACACCTCCATAATGCACTAAAGACCCCAGCATAGAAACTAAATAAATGGGTATTATGGAATATTATGGAAAACCCGCTAAACGAAGTTTATAATGCGATTTAGACATTAATAACCGAGAGTAAGTGTATAGAAAAGATCGATTTAAATCTATCCCACCCTCCCACAAATTGTGGAGGGGGGGGGGGGGAGAGTGAGGTGTGCTCTGGTCGGAAGAATGTGTATACACCAAGTGTATGTTAAGCGTGTGGTCGGTCGAGCGATGCTCCGGTATAACGGTACCATAGACTTCGGGTAGGAGGGGTGGAACGGTCGGGTTGGACTGCTGGAGCTACGGGTTGGGTGATGGACAGGGTTGTAGGGGGGGGGGGAGTTGTGGGGTGAGTTTGGGTTTTGTAGTCGTAGGGTTTTTTGTTGTCGTATGGGGTTGTGTGGTGGGTTGGGGTTGTGTAGTGGATTGGGGTTGTGGTGGGTTGCGGTTGTGTGATGGGTTGGGTTGGGGTTGTGTACTGGGTTGGGGTTGTGTGGTGGGTTGGGGTTGTGTGGTGGGTTGCGGTTGTGTGGTGGGTTGGGGTTGTGTGGTGGGTTGGGGTTGTGTGGTGGGTTGGGGTTGTGTAGTGGGTTGGGGTTGTGTAGTGGGTTGGGGTTGTGTGGTGGGTTGGGGTTGTGTAGTGGATTGCGGTTGTGTGGTGGGTTGCGGTTGTGTGGTGGGTTGGGGTTGTGTAGTGGATTGGGGTTGTGTAGTGGATTGGGGTTGTGTAGTGGATTGGGGTTGTGTGGTGGGTTGGGGTTGGGGTTGTGTAGTGGATTGGGGTTGTGTGGTGGGTTGCGGTTGAGTGGTGGGTTGGGGTTGTGTGGTGGGTTGCGGTTGTGTGGTGGGTTGGGGTTGTGTGGTGGGTTGGGGTTGTGTGGTGGGTTGGGGTTGTGTAGTGGGTTGGGGTTGTGTAGTGGGTTGGGGTTGTGTGGTGGGTTGGGGTTGTGTAGTGGATTGCGGTTGTGTGGTGGGTTGCGGTTGTGTGGTGGGTTGGGGTTGTGTAGTGGATTGGGGTTGTGTAGTGGATTGGGGTTGTGTAGTGGATTGGGGTTGTGTGGTGGGTTGGGGTTGGGGTTGTGTAGTGGATTGGGGTTGTGTGGTGGGTTGCGGTTGTGTGGTGGGTTGGGGTTGTGTAGTGGGTTGGGGTTGTGTAGTGGATTGGGGTTGTGTAGTGGATTGGGGTTGTGTGGTGGGTTGGGGTTGTGTAGTGGGTTGGGGTTGTGTAGTGGATTGGGGTTGTGTAGTGGATTGGGGTTGTGTGGTGGGTTACGGTTGTGTAGTGGATTGGGGTTGTGTGGTGGGTTACGGTTGTGTAGTGGATTGGGGTTGTGTGGTGGGTTACGGTTGTGTAGTGGATTGGGGTTGTGTGGTGGGTTGCGGTTGTGTGGTGGGTTGGGGTTGTGTGGTGGGTTGCGGTTGTGTGGTGGGTTGCGGTTGTGTGGTGGGTTGGGGTTGTGTGGTGGGTTGCGGTTGTGTGGTGGGTTGCGGTTGTGTGGTGGGTTGGGGTTGTAGTGGATTGGGGTTGTGTGGTCGTAGGAGGTTGTATGGTACAGACATTGCGTAGTTGGAGGAGGATGTGTGGTTGTAGGTGGTTATGAACTGGGCTAGGTGGTTAAAAGAGGCTCTGTGGTTAGAGGGGTTGAATGGTTGTAGAGGGTTGTAGAGGGTTGTGTCGCAGAGGGTTGTGTGGTTTTAAAGGGTTGTGTGATTGTGTTGTGTGTTGTATCGTTGTAGAGGGTTGTAGAGGGTTGTGTGGTTGTAGAGGGTAGTGTAGTTGTAGAGGGTAGTGTGGTTGTAGAGGGTTGTGTGGTTGATGAGGTTTGTGTGGTTGATGAGGTTTGTGTGGTTGATGAGATTTGTGTGGGTGTGTGTTGTATAGTTTTAGATGGTTGTGTGATAATAGGAGATTGGATCGGGTTGTTTGGTTGTATACGGTTGTGAGATTGGACTAGGGTTGGGTTGTTAAACCTGTTCACCATCTCAATCAAAGATTGATAGGATAACATGCTGCCAGTGATGTTCGAACCATGACAAATCCGTTTATCCTACCATTATAAGTGAAGCCATCGCGCCTTTCTTTAATACACGATGTTTAAATAGCTAACAAATCACATTTAAACATTGATGAACGGCTACTAAAACAGAAGGTTGAGTAAAGTTCCCTTTCAAACCTGACGGTCTATAAGGCAAGTGAAGTAGAATTCACTTGAATCTGTGACCTCGGCATATGAAGGGATAGTGTGGTCAGCACTATGCCCAGCCGCCTTTACTTTCCCTAACGTGAGTTAGGTACCCATCAGATTCGGATGGACTCGGGGACGTTCTACTGACTTGAACCCGGATTTGAACTCGAGACTTACGGGTTAGCAGTCCAGCTCTCTGCCGTCAGACCACTCCGTCCCCCAAAACAAAAGTTTAGAATAGCCAAACTCCCAACCCAACATTGGCGCTATGGCCTGTATTAGCAAATCGCCACATTTCCTTTAGCAGTACCAGGCAGTCAGGTCGCTGAGTACCTACTGTATGTAATTAACTTCAATCAATTAGAGCTAAAAAGAAAGTTGAGTTTAAAACATAAATTACTGAAGCAAACACAAATATTGTAAAGTAATGCAATTTGAGCCCCATTGCGCACCTATTGAGGTCATTGCGCTTGCATCTTCTGCCGGCCAGAATACTCATTTTGTAAATTAAATAGCTAATATAAAGTGTTGACAGTATGCCTACATACAGTACAACATAGTATAGATCTAGTAGACACGGATAATAAATTGTAATGGTGGAACAGGTTTTTAAAAGTAAAACAAAGCTACATATTATAATACATCATATAGATCTAATACGTGTCTACAGTACCTGCTTCGAAAAGGCCATTACATTATAATTAAAAAAAATAAAAAATAAAAACAAATGATTAAGAGTGTACAGTACCTTGTATGTTCTAGTTCCTATGCCTATGTTGATACGGTAATCCGGTCTTGAATTATTTTTGCCAGAGAACACCTCAACACACCACACCGATGTAAACTACCACCTTATATTTTTAACCCAACTTTTTTTCTTCCCTACACGCAAGTACTCGGTCGCATCAGATTATGGTCAGTATCCTTAGACCATGTTGACCCAAGACCAACAACCAAGCAATTAGAGAACTGACCACGGGTCACTCTGTCTTAAAACCTCCCGTCTGAAATACTATCTCCCCTTCTCAACCCATCCCCCTATTCAAACCCCCCACCCATTTTCTTAACGTAATAAAATGAAAAAAAAAGGGGGATGGGGGCAAGAGGGCAAGACCTGTTTAATTCCCCCCCCCCCCCCCCGCTGACCGTAGTGACCACATCACCCAATCTTACATGCAGCACGGCTTGAGAAGGGGAGAGAATCCTCCCCCCCCCCACGTGGCTATTGTTAGCAACTGGTCATTCACAGCTTGCGGCGTGGCTTAACAAGCCAGGCCCCGCCCCCGCTGACCACGGTCCGAGCCAGGGCCTGAACCTGGCACTGTACTGACCGGTGATTGACAGCCCATAAAAAACCGTATGTCCAGTTAATCGTTTACATATAGACCAAGGGAAAAAGTATTTAGATTTTTTAAATCACGGGCAATTCAACGGAAAAAGGACGTCATCGATCCTAACAGAATGTTCTTTCAAACAAAAGAAAAAAACATAATGTACATTTTACAGGCCAAATTTATGTATTTTATTGTGTATATCCACAATAATAGTCGCAATTAACTATACTACTCAACCCCCCCCCCCCCCACCCTTCCGAAAAACATTTTTAAAATTAATTCAAAATAAAGTGGTTATTAATAGAAATGAGCTTATTTTGTATGGAATTTCCACTGTTTTTTCACATGAATTTTTACATGTTTTGTCTTGTTTCTTTCAATTTACAGAATTTTCGTTGTTTTAAAAAGAGTATTCCTTTTATATCGAAATGCATGTTTTTTTTTTTTTTTTTTTTTTACTGTAGGCTGGGCATTATCTGGGCACTAATGGGTTAACGTTACTTTGTGTAG